GCTAACCTCGACTGGGGCCAAACTAACTGGCAGGGCTTCGTGGCGGCAACGGTCACCGATGAAGCAAGGGACATGTTCATCTCCGATATCCATGCCTATATCGCTAATGGTCTCAACGATGTACCCTTCTCGGACCGTTACTGGGTGCAAGATAGTACGACTGGTGAGGCCGGTGAGTACTTTGCGTTTCGGGCGAGGCCAGCACTGGGAAGTCATTTTGCGTTGATGGCGCTGCAGGGGGCGGATCAGTGGGTGGGTTGATTCAGTTGCTTAATGGGTTTGGTAAGTATATATATACATTGCATTTTGGGCGTATTGTACATAGGTTAGATTAAGTTTAGATTTGAAATTAGAGAGCACATGTCGGGGTTGATTAATGAGTTATCCCTCGCTAGGGCTATGAATAACTTGCAGGAATATTTGCATCTTTTGCGCGACTAAGTGCATGCATATATATATTGATGGTAATGTTCGCATAAATAGGGATGGGGTTTCACAAACACCTTCTAACATCAACTGAAGACATAAATGATTGAAGTATGCACAATGTACATGGACTCTAGTACTACTAGTACTAGTAGTCTAGTAGTTATATATAGTCAGCGATTACGTATATTTGTCTACGACGATTCGTTACCATGCTGTAACTATACTGTAATGAATGTTCCTTTTGTGATGTCAATACTTACTAAAATTGCCTTCCGAACATATATATAGCATGTAGTATAAATATAATACACCACAATCCAGCTTGTCAGCGCTACTACTACAGAGATACTACGTACTAGAAGTAACTAAATATACACCTACTTATTTGCAGAAGAAGTGACGGGCTGAGCTCAATGTTCTATGCAGCGGGTTGGGTCATTATCTAGGTCACATGGTAGACAGTGGTTTCTAGGGAGATGATGCCGGGGGCAATGGATAATTGCTGGGTCACGTCACAGTTAGCAAGTGGTGTTTATAGTTGCCAAGTCGATAAAAAGTGGTCTATTGCCTGACATATGACGTTTTTGATTGAGAGCAGAATTGTGATGCAGGTTCTGTCATTTGGATAACCTGAAGTTGCAGCTTACACGTCAATATCAATATGCTACGTATTCAGGAAGACGTGTGCGGATGGTAGGAATGTTGAGACGTGATAGGTTTATGCTGCTGTTCAACATAGCTGGCTGATAAGAGTTTTCTGGTTGGTGAGTGGATGACCTGTGCTGTGATTGTTGAGCACGGCCTGCATTTGAAGTGCAATCCTAGCATGCTGTCAGGTAAGCAATGTAATAGCAAGTTTAGTAGTGCGGTGTCATGTGAGAAAATCTACGCATCAGAAATCTCTTTGCAGCTTGTGGATATCTCTGGTCCTACTGGGCGATTATACTTCCAACCCCAAATCAACTGAGCAACTGCCGAGTTTCCGGTTGGATTTGAAATAGGGCGAATCTGGAGGCTGTCCATAACGCAGCAAACTGTGTAGAGTATTCCGTCAGCGGAGGCATCGGATGCCGACGTACAATCTCCCCAAGGACGAACGTGTCGTGCCGTCGACATTGGCGACATTTTCTGTCCGGTCTTCAGACAGACCGGAACCCACTATGGGCAAAGCGTCATCTCAACCCATCACGGCGACTCCGTATGCTGTGCCAGTCGAGAAACAAACGTAGTGACCCCCAAGTCGCACACTCTGTACACATCTGGCTCTTCGGTTCGGCGTATCTCGGGCCCAGCTGACCCAAGTGGTCTGACGAAAATTCCAACATGTCCACTCTCTAACCGAAGTATTCCCAGGATTCGGGCCAATCAATTTGCTGATGTTTTGTCAAGCGCCCAAGCATCCCATCCTAGGCGCTGCAACTGTGGGCTCGAAATGGTGCTAAGCCATCGAGCATGGAACAAGCGTCCCGGATGGGCAGCCAGGTCCAACAAGTTCATGGCACCATGCCCCGTTGTTGGTCATGCAGAGTGGCCAGTTCGTTTAACATCGAGTGGTCCAAGATAACAGACAAGTTGCGGGATGGAGAGGATTCATATAGAAGCAAGGTCTGCATTTTCCCAGTCGGGAATGACGATGACGTCTTGCAGGAAGAGAAGGATTTGCGGAGACGGTGTATCTGATGTGCTGGCTAATCAGCAGCACCAGCTCACCGGTATGGTCCAATCCGATATCCAACGCGCGCGACTTTTTGCTAGCGCCATGCCTATTCGAGTCAAAGCGGCCGACCCTCAGGCGCATCTGGGCGCATGGAGAATCCTACCAGAAGATTCAGTGAAGAGGTCTGTGATCTGAAATCCACCCATGGCTTAAGCCAGGCCCGCTGTTTGAGGGCCTTGGCCCCAACAGCGGTCGTTTCTTCTGATCCAACCTAGATTAGCCCGTTGGCGCGGTTAGGGTGAATCCGTTCTCCCGGCGAAAATCAGATGGACCCACTGGCCGCCTTTATGATCGCGGTACCAACGGTGAGGCCGGTTACCTCCGCCGGCCGAGATGTAGATGGGACTAATATAGTGGTATCGCGATTCTAGCTAGCCTGGTCTATTCCAGCTGGAGCTTGAGGATTACTCACACGCGCGATATGGCGCAAAAGCGCCGGGCGGAACGGTCGGGCTTTTAGTCCGAGGTATGGCTAGCTGTAGGATGCATGCACCTCGCACTGTGGGCTGAGCTTGATCATTGGGCAGCGAGGGCAACGTCACGGACGATTGGTGGGATGCCTATGTGTGATGCTGCTGGGAAGGCGTGGGAAGCGTGGGCGTGGGTGTGGGAGAGGCTGCGGAAGAGGCTTTGTCGCAGCCGGGGTCCATCATCCACGGAAAGTTACGCCATGGTGCCACCGTGCTCATTCCATCGAGTTTCTTTGAAAGAGCAAAAAGACAAGCGGGAAGATCAGTAACTCCTCCGTGACCGGCAACGGCTCGCCCCTCTTAAGCGGGGTATTATTTCTTGATGGATTGACAGATTCAGAATGGTCGTGATCGAACCATAGCTAGCTAGCTATGAGAAGATTGGAGTTTTGGCTGACATCATTGGGTCAAGCGTCTCATGATTCCGGAACCGAAGGCGATATTCGGAGATGTGAGACACGGATGCCATGCAACAGAGACACAACGTGGATGGAGAAGAAGGAGGGATTGAGACACTAGCTGTCTAGTGAAGGTAGTAGTGTAGGTGTACAGTTGTAGCTACAAAGTACTAACAACAGTCCAATGGTGAGTAACGAACCATCGAATCAGGCCTGAGGCAGCCCCGGGCGGCGGGAGAGTCACGGGCCCGCACCCCTTATGCCAGATCCGGCAAGGCGGGAAGATAGCAGGCCAATGAGAAGACCGATAAGCCCCCAAGAATCTGAGTTACCCAAAACAGCAAAAGCAGGGTTCATGGAGGCCTAGCACTAAGCCACGATAGGCAAAGGGCCAGGAGCCGAAGATGGGGATTTGACTTTTAGGTTTTTTGGCTGCAAGTGGATGTGGTGTGGATCCCGGCTTTGTCCCAAGACGGCATGACGAGAGAGATTCATTGCTGGCTTGTCGGGGTTTAAGCATCAATTTTTTTTTTCTTGTTCTTGTCTTTCCCCCCCCCCGCCTCTATGTCCATCCCTCCATCTCTAGTATTCTCCATTCGGGAACGGATGTCCATCAGTTCCGGGATGGACCGGTGCTGCTTATTCAGTTTCGGGGGAAGATCTGGGATAAAGTACACTTTAGTTCCATTAATAGTCAGTAGATTATTGTAGGATAAACGGGGGGGATGCTTCAGGGGGTGTGACTGCTTATTCCTGATTGGGTCAATTGGGCTGGTGGCCGGTGGGGCATGTCAAGGATGGGGGAAGAAAAGCACACCACAAAATCCGACTAAATCAGTACTAGTGAGTTGTTGGTATTAGATAGTAAGTAATATCTAGTAGTGAACAGTTAACCCTCTTTTTCCTTTTTCTCTCTCGTTTTCCATTCCCAGGTGGAAGATCTCAGACGGTATACCATGTAGAGTAGGATGAACACTGGCCATGCATGGTACTTGCTTAGTTTTATTTCTTTTTTTAAACCAAGAACTGTACAGTGGTAAATCTTTAATAAATGATCATCCTCTCAAGATGGCAAGTCATCAGCGAGCTGGGTCATGACAGACAAGAGATAGAAAGAAAGAGGCAACGATGATCCAGGGTTCAGTACACCGCGACCCAAGATGACCAAGATGACCATTTGCCCATTCGACCGCATGATGCATCATCCTGTCTCTTGTCTCTTTCCCTTCTGTTGCTACGGCGGTTGGGGCGCCGAGCCCTTCGTAGCGCTGCATTAAACACCACAAATCCTTTTTTTTTCTGCCCGCATTTACTGGTTTCGTCTTTTGGGGAAGGCCAGAGCCATCCAGTTCCATCCAATCCATGCCATCGGGGATTCGCGCTCTTACTGCCTCCGTGCAAAGACAACGGAAGTGGGGCAGCGATCTATCGGCTAGCTTTGGACAACTTTGGAATTATTGTTGGAAAAGTGCTTTGGTGGTGGAGGGAAAAAGTGGGTTGTGGAATTGAAGGTGGTCTCGATGAGCGGGTTTTGGAACCTTCTCCCGGAAAAGAGGCCAAAACCTCTTTAGTCTCTCTCCTTCTCTCTCTCCCTCCCTCTCCAAAAAAGCATGGGGAGTCGGTCGTTTGTTTGGATATTAAATCTCATGGATCTCCAACTATCCACCCCGGCCAAGAAGGTGTTGTTGAAAGTTGAGCTGTAACAGTTGGAGGGGATTACGGCTTCTTGCTTGTTTGATTTAGGGATTGTTTTCCATATTAATTTTCCCTTCTTTTTACACTTCCTATGAAACATCCCCCCTCCTCCCTTCCATCCTTGACGCTTCTGCTTCCACCTTGCGCCTGCTGGGAAACCTCCCCCCCCTCCCTCCCTTCAACCCTCCCCAGCATCTTCTGCTCCTTCACCCAGTACCTGCAAAGAAGGAACAAAAGAACACGACAGGGAAAGATAATAATACAATCCCCAAGGAAGAAAAGTCCCCAGCAATGCCTGCACGGCGCACCTACAGAGCCCCGGCGCGGAATGGCTGTTTTGAGTGCAGGAACCGGCGAATCAAGGTAGGTGCTCTTGGGGTTTTAGTCCCGGTGAAGCTTAACTTAAGTTGCCTGGCCTGGCCTGCTATTTTCTTGGTTGTTTGGTCCACTAAAGTTTCCATCCTTTTTCCCTTCTTCTACTGCTGCTATTCTTCTTCTTACATTTTCCCTCTTTTTTTAATTTTCTCTCTTCTATTATTTTCCCCCTCTCCCTTCCCCCAATTCCCTCCTCCCCCATCATTGCCTGGGTGCCTGGATGCCTGAATGATGCAGTGATCCCTTTCCCTTTCCTGCCTCCTTCCTCCACTCCTCCCTCCTAGTACTAGATATGTACCTATCAGTGGAGCTTTATCTGCTTGTTTGATTACTGCTGTGGACCGGGACCTTTGCTACTTTTTTGTTCCCACCACCACCACTATTACCCCCCTCCCCTGAATTATTACACCACACCACTTTTCTGTGGTTCTTCAAATCGGGACTGGTAGTCCTGTGTCGCCCTCATAGATGCTAATCGAACCGGGATGCAGTGCCCCAACGAACACCCCCAGTGCTCCCATTGCACCAGCGACAACATAATATGTCAATATATTCCCTCCTCCACCTCCTTGGTCTGGCCCAGGGTCAAGTCTCGCTCCACCACCCCGACCCTTCCCCCATCCCGCACCGCCTCCCCTTCCCACGTGAACCCCAGGATTTTCGCTGAATACCGCGTCGTCATGGACCCCGTTGCCCCTTCCACTCCCACGGGGGATCTGAACATTCAAGACCTCGAGTTGATGATGCAATGGTGCACAACCACATACCGCTCGGTCTCGCGAAATACCTCGGTAGAAGGAATCTGGCAGGGCGTAGTGCCAAGGGAAGCCATGCGCCACCCATTCTTGATGCACGGCATCTTGGCTCTCTCCGCCCTGGATCTGGGCTTCAACTGCCCCTCCGGTCCGCCCAAAGACTATTACATCCGAACCGCCCAGGCACACCAGTCCCGGGCTGTGACCGGTCTCAGCAAGATCGCGGGACGTCTGGATCAATCCAACTGCAATGCCGCTTTTGCTCTGTCCAGTATCATGGTGGTCTTTTCCTTCGCCCTCCCTCGGACGACGAACAAACTCGGGGACGTCCTGAATGAGCTTCTCAACATATTCCGGTTCACACGCGGGTCGGTGGACGTCCAAGGAGGAATTATCAATTGGGTCGCGGATGGCGAGTTCAGCCCGCTTCTCGAGTGCGACACCTCGCAGCCAACCATGCCCGACACGTCTCGGCTGGCCATCATGTCGCTGACACGAATGAACGCGGACCTAGCCAGCCGCGATCCCACCCATGATAAGGACACGTATGACACGACGATCCGGTACCTGAGCTACTCGCTGGACAAGCTGGCCCGGGGCGGAGAAACCATGATTATTGCCTTCCAGTGGATCTTCCAGATCCCGCCGCGATACTTGGATTTGCTGCAGCAGAGACAGCCCTTTGCGTTAGCCATCTTGGCCCATTACGCGGTGATTATCCACTCGTTGCGAGGACATTGGTGGATGGGCGAGTGGGGAGCGCGACTGATCCGGGAGATCGGCCAGCGCCTGGGTGCAGACTGGAAAGACTCAATCAGTTGGGTGGTGGACGCGACAGGATGCTATATTCCTCCAGTCTGAGACGGTTCATGGACGAGATGTATAAGTACCTATTTTTTTTCCATTCTCCAGTGCGCGTTATTCCTTTCAAACACCGAATATGGATGCATCTGCGCGCTGGAGAGTACATTGTGTGGCCACCATGACCATCCTTGAGAGACGCGTGCAGCGTGCACGCTGCCCGTCGACATACCTTAAAGCAGGCGGGAACACCCCTGCCATCCGTGGGCCAGGCTCTACCATGAGTGACCTACACAGAATTCATGCAGTCTTGAAGAAGAGGGAGTCATGCAGTGAACTGTAATAGAAAGAAGACCAGGACACGACGGGAAGTGACATTTGGGGAGGCCGACCGGGAATAAGCACTAAGAGCGGAGCGGAGTGAACACCACAACGAAGAAAGACAAATGCGACCAACTAGTGGAATCTAGTTGGTTAGTCGATGGACATGAAGGAGAGGAGATCCGACCGCCAATCACTCGACAGCTCAAACTGAACCAGGGTGCTGGACATCTACACCACCTACAACTATCTATGGCATGATCGCATGGGACACATACTCACTTGGCATGAGATGGATGATACCTCATAAGCAACATACGGAGTACTTGATTGGTATTGCATTTTTATTTCAGAGCAAGCTATGCATACATACATTTTATTCGGATTATAGATTCATACATGATCTACACTATTTACCTCGGCAATAGACAGAATTAGCAGAACCCAAGTAATAATAATAATAATACCCCTAGTAATAACCACTAAAGAAACAAGGCAAGAAAAAGCAATATGCAGCCCTCCCCATAGATAAGCCCCCGCGATTTCATTGGAGATCTCACTACTAGTAACAATAGTGCCAACAACCACACTACAAAAGGGCTCCGGTGTGCCCTGCCCAACCTTTGCAATAGAAAATGAATGAATGGAAATGAGATCGAATGGTTATAATACTGAAGACACATATTATACTTTGAAAATTAATAACAATACCCCCAGTCCAAACGCAACAGCAATCACAAATATGAAATGAAATGAAATGAAACGACAAAATCCGACCCTCGCGCCGTTCTTTTTCCCCACGTCCGGAGTTCTTTACTACATGGGTATTGTTCAAAAAACACAAAAACAGATTCAGATCGAATGGGAGGGAATATGATGGGAAGAAATGATAAGGAAGGGATCTCTCCATCTGAGGGGATGGGTATAGAGATGGAGAGATAGGTAGGTGGGTAGGTAAGTGGTGTCGAGCACTACCTGCACCTGCACACTTATCTGCTTGGGTATTGTTGGGAGCAGGTAATGCAGGTATCGGTCGGTCGTCAGTCAGTCAGTCGAAATATAGATAGATGGGATGCTCTCATCCCATCCATCTCAGAAGTCCGGTTCAGTTCAGTCCAGTCCGGTCCAGTCAAGAGAGAGGAGCGGAAACACAAGCACACACATATGGTGCAACAATAATCACACGTTTGGAGAAGAGTCAAAGGCAGAAAAGCACAGCGCAGTCAGAGCAGGGGAAGAAAGAAAGAGAGTGGTAAGTTAGCGTGAGCGACAGACAGCAGCTCACTCTCCCTCACTCACTATCTCTTCCCATACCTCACCACGCCATGCCATACATTGCCATGCCATATCTGCCAGCAGAAATAACTGACAGAAATGACATCCCAGCAATAAGTCCAACCTCATCCTCAACTCCAAACATGTGCTAGTCAACTGGACGGATTCCGTTCTTCACCACCCCCACCACCAGCACCGGTACCCTCACCAGCGACACTGGCGGTCTCAGCATCCTTCCTGCGATCCTTCGATTGCGTGCGCACACGCCTCAACTGCTCCTCTTCCTGTTCGCGCACGCGCTTCTCTTCTTCCGCGGAAGGGATATATGCGTTTGCAGCGCCGCCTACAATTATTACAACCCATTGATTAGCTCATTGTTTGAGAAGACACGACCACGGACGAAGGGGTAGTATAGGAGGTATAGGGGAGATTACCTCGGCCCATAAAGTGCGGCGCTTCTTCCACGCGCAATGGGGGCGACTCCACATCCTGCATTTCTCGGGCTAATTCGGGGTGTTCCGGATCATTGTGCATCATGTTACCGGAGCCGCCGCGACCGGTGGTGAAGATGTCTTGTTTGATGGTGGGGGTGACGAGGTCCTTTGGGGTGGTGCGGGATTCATTGTGGCCGGAGAAGATGTTGCCTGTTGGGGGGGGAACAATATCGCGTTAGATGAGGTGATATTGTGTCTTTTAAAGAAAGGGATACAGAGAGAGAGAGAGAGAGAGAGAGAGAGAGAGAGAGAGAGACAGAGGGAGAGATAGTGCTAAACATACCTGCGCCGCCGCGGCCGTGGGAGATATTTCTAGCGCCGCCCATTGTTGCCGAACAGGGAGGGAGTGGAGGGGAAGGGGAGGGCGGAGAGAGAATGCGATCGGGAAAGTGGATGATCAGAGTAAGTAGTAAGGGAAGTATGGGATGCGATTGATTGCGAAGGCGCAACAACGCAAAGGCGAACTCTCAATCAAGAGATTGAAGGAGAAGATGAGAAGATGATTTGAAGAGGAGTGGGAAGGGAAAGCAAGCACGCAATAGCTAACCCAGCAATGATCAACACAAAGAGAGAGAGAGAGAGAGAGAGAGAGCTGAGGAGCCGCCAAAGTGGCAAAGGCCGCGAGCGAGAAGAAAGACTGAGTGGAAAGAAAAAAAGACTGAACGAGCAGCCAAGACTTTGATTTTGATCAAATGACGTCCTGCTTCTGGGGCCGAATGACCGAGACAGTTTTTTTTCTTCTCTTCCATCCCTCTTCTTCTAATTTGGTTTTCTCGAGTGCCTCTACATTTCATCTTTCATTCTTCTATACCTCAATTCTTCGTTCTTCCATCAATTTAATTCTCTTTCTAGGGCCCTACCTTGAAGACTAAGTTCATCCCTCTCCCTCTTACCTCATTCAAGGACGCCAACCATGCCTGAAAGTGGAAACTTTTTAATCTAACTTGACCCCACTTTTTCCCTTTATTATACTATCATACTACTATATTACCTTGGATTATGATTTTCCTTTAAATTCATTCCAGAACTTTTTGCCGACTGATGGAAACCGAGTGGAAAATTCTTCCTAGTTGTTCTTTTGGATACTAGTATATTTTTAGTCGATTAATTGTATTACTATGTACTACTGTTGTTGGACAGTAAGTAGGTTTAGGATTTCCCCGCAGGAAGGTTATCTCTATTATCTTTCCTTGCTGGAATTTCGGTATTTGACAGATTAGGATTATAGCTATGAGATAGTTTAGTGAAGCAATGTGTATCAAGCAATGGGAAGTGGGGAAACCGCATTACTTATATATTGGTTAGAGAGTATGCTTTCCCTGTGTGAATATCTACTATTCCTCAAGGCTGCTGCTCAGAATTGTAGCAAGGGGATGCATGTACAGTCATCCTGCAAGTATAGTAATTCTATTATTCACAAACCAAAGAAACCATTATGTATATATACACACCATAAACATTAATCCAGTCATGCGTGTTCATAAACCAGTGCATCCCATCCATGCCATGCGTTGCTGCATACAGCGTATATAATCATGCCGAACCGTCCATCTGGAATAATCGGTCCATGTCCATTTCGTACGCCTGCTCAAATCCCATACTCCAGACCCCATGCGCGCCCTTGACGCGATACGGCCCCTCCCATTTCCACGACTTCTTCTTCTCCTTGTACGAAACTGCTCCAACGTGCTGCATCTGCGACGGGGAGATGGCCAGTCGGTCCAGCTCGGCCCGCCCCGCCTGCATCTCGATCACGCTGTCCACCGCCTTGGTGGGGATCACGTCCTCCATGTGCTCGAAGTACTCCAGGAGGGCTGGGACGTTCTCGCGATTGAAGAGAAGGGCCTGCGAGCAGCAGCCGTGCGCATTCATCACGTGCACCCCATCCTGCATCGGGTACCAGGTAACCCGACCAGCCAGGAAGAAGAGGGTGATCAGTAGCGGCACGCAGAAGAAGCAGACTACCAGCAGGAACGAGTTGGTGAGGATGCCCTGGGTAGCGCGGATCTTCCGCCGAGTGTACATGCCTGCACTGGCGCAGAGGGAGACGAGCAGCACACTCCAGGACAGGTAGATGGGCCAATTCTCCGAGTTCCAGCCGAGGAACTTCTCCGTGTAGAAGAGCCGCAGGTATAGCCAGTCTTTGATCGTATCGTGTCGGCGCCAGTCCTCTACCTGCTGGACGCTGCGCATGGTGTCCTCGTACCAATTGCGCTGGGCCACCACGTCGTCCTCCAGCATGATGATCCACGGCGCGTCGGTCATGTCGTAGCATGCCTGTAGCCCGAGCCGGTAGTCGATCAGAGACTTCTTCTTTATGTTATTCTTCTTCTCCAAGTTCATAATGATATACCCGGGTGCGTCGACATCGTCGTAGGTGAGTACGTGGTCAACGACATTCGATAACCATGTCTGATTGTAATCCGGGTGATCGGAGGGTTTGCTCAGAGCGAAGAGCACTTGGACGGTCAGCGCCGCTCGCTGCTCGGGTGAGAGGGTATCAAGAATCGAAGCAACGGTTGTGTCGAGGTCCTGCTGCAGGGGACGCTTCACGGTAACGATGCCGACACAGGCGGTCTTCTCCCGTGGCGGGCTGACATGGGAGACGGGACGGGGCGGGACATTGTCGGAACGGTTGAAGGCAGACAGCCACTCCAGCGATTCGTGGATCCGTTGGAGACTGTATCCCGGGCGATAGCCTTCGGTAGGCTGGAAGAAGAACGAGCCTGGGTCACGGGCGGACCGAAAGTGGCAGATGATGATAAGGAAGAAAAAAAGGATGGCGTAAGAGGACAGAAGCAGCCTCTGCTTTCTGTTAAAGTGATTGAAAGCCATCGGTCACATACTGGTTGGCAGACGATCAGGAGGAAACGAACGGAGGAGAGGATGGAGGGGAGAGAGGGAAGGAAAGGAAAAGAGGGAAAAGGAAAACAAAAGGCAGGACCGGATTGCGACAGCAGATAAGCCAGCAGCGGACTAGCAAGAGTTAGCTTGGAGCCATGTTGATGAGACTTGCTGCTTTTGAAGCCCTGGGCCCTCAGGGTCTGCCCATCGCTTAGTTTGCTCTAGTCATTTGCTGGCCAGCTGATAGTCCGGCCGCTCTTTCGTTTATCGGGCCAGTGGAGCGGTGGTCAAAACCCTTCGAGTTGACCCACGCCCGAATAGCCAAGTTTTGGGATCGCGTTGGCCCATTGGCCGATCACGCGGTGGGCGCCAGGGCTGAGCGCATGCTGCGTAAGGCATTATCCGAGTAGGGATTCGATAATAGGTGCAGGGTTGGGAATAGCGTCAACAGCCATTGTGGGTTTTCCCGAGGGTCAATTGGCTGAGAGAGGGGGAGAGAGAGACAGGATGACGATAAGAATAGCTCGGATTGCTTGCTTGGTTCGTTGCTTTGCTTCACTTGCTGGATTGTCTCGGAGCAAAAGTGAGAGGGAAATTCCATCCCGCGCGGGCTAAAAAAAGCCTGCCCAGAAAAAGCTTAGCCCCAAACGGTGTCCGCCGCCAGAAGAAGAAGAAGATGAGCATTGAGCAGACAAGAACATTGTAGAATAAACATCAAAGTGGGGGAAATAATTGACAGATTTCCTTGCATACTCCGAGCAGTCTCATCATGACACAATCAACAGGGCAGTGCCGATGAAACAATTGATTTAGTGTGATGGCGAAGTGGTTTTAGCACCGCTCATTGTCTCAATTATCTTGGTTTTGGATGGAGTCAGTTCTCGTATTGAACCCACTTCAGTGTTGTGCATCCATCACTATCCTGCACTCTCAATTATCGTGTCCAACCTGCAGACTCGATCACAATAAGATTCTTGACCTGTCAAGTTCGTTAAGTAATTTGCTGGTCCAAGCTAGGAGGTCAGTGTGACAGCCGGTCACATGACCATAAATAATAGTGCATGTAAGCTGATGAAGTGATGTGCGTTCTGAGTCTGTTAACTCAGAATTTTAGATAGCCTAGTTGAAGGAGCGGATTGTGACACTACTGCATCTCATCCTGTCAGTCATCTCCTTCCACTTGTGTCCTACACCTAACCTGCAATATTTATGTCTACGGTTCACTCATGTTCCATGCTGTTGTTTTCTTCTTTTAGCTATTTTATATCATTACTATCATATTTACTATTCTTGGCACTGCAGTTTTTCTTAGGATGTCTAGCATGTTATATACGTAGTAGTATACTTCATAGTATTAGAATACTATCTCATTAAGAGGATTATTCATTGTAGTTATTCTCTTGAATTAAGAACAGCCGCTAGCCCGCATCTTATTCTGAACCCTTTCACGACTTAACGGAATACTGGTCCTTCCCCACAAGACATTCGGCCTCGTTGAGGTACTTGGAAAACGAGGCGGCGTCCTTTCTGAAGACCTTGCTGCCCTGCCAGTCCCAGTCGCCAATAACGTACTGGGCATTACGTGCCCGGGACAGAATCACATTGGTCTGCTTCGTCGAGTGGAGGAACTTTCTTAAATGCGCCGGTCAACTGACTGACTCATTACAGCAGCACCTGCTACGCGAGTCTACTGCGCGAGTCGGCACTAGGATGGCCAACTTGGCCAATCCCACCGACCCAGCGCAGAGGACTTGCGTAACAAACATAGTCACTGCAGCAATTGTTCGCGTTTTGCCTGTACCAGGAGGACCAAACACAAGAGATAGAGTGGGTAAGCAACTGGATAGTTGCCTGCCCCAGTTTGGGCGCTATTGGGCCTCCAATCTTTTGGCACAAGGGATTTGAGATCCGGGGGAGCCGATTCCCCTGGATCATGGGTATTTACCCGAGGAGTATTGGGAAGGAAAATCGAGGTTAACGAAAGTTTTGGACCATTACCAAAGGAGATGGCCACTTCCTGCTTCGTACAATCACGGCAATCGTCGTCAAAACTCTCATCGCCCCAGTATTCTTCCAGAGCTCTGGTAGCTTTTTGCATTTCGACCTGAAGCATATGGTTGGCCACAATAAAAATCCTCACGTCATCTTCATCAACTTGCTTGACAGCCCTAACGTCAACGTTGTTAAGAAGGACTGCATGCACAGGAGCATCGATTAAGGTGGTCCACTTGGCCGAATTCTCTGTCACTGAGGCCATGGAGCCTTTCTGAGGCCCACTCTGGCCAGGAATCTTATAGCTCTTAGTCTTATTCCTCAACGTCCTCGTCGGTGGCCTCGGCCTGTAGCCAATCGGGGTTGGGGGGGTCAAGTTCTTCATCGGTTGCATCGGCGGCACCACTAAGAGCAAGAACTCGACGGAGAGCCCATTGCATATTGAGCAGCTCTATCGATGGGAGGGGATGGCCGACTAAGAACGTCTCTGGAGCGCAGGGCTTTCTCGGTGTTAATATTGAATAGCTTTGCATTGAGTTTGCCTTCCACCTTAATCGAGGACAGGCAGCCATCAGGGAAAGGACACGGGACTTCTCTGGACGACATAGCGTCTGAGTCTGATGTCCGACATAGACGGACAGCTGGGCAATGATTTTGCGCCGCTCTGGGTCGAGGAGCTCGTCTGCAGGTCCCCTGGAGGACAATTTGTCTTGCGTGGAGGCACGAGTGGTGCGTTTACTGGTGTTGGGCGTAAGTGTCGACATCACAACAAAACTGGCACCAGCTTTTGCTGGATACCGCGAGGAAGTTCAAGCAAAAGGGCCAAACGGGTGTGGCTTCGACGACAGGAGGCTAATTGGGGCGAAGTCTGGTAAGGAAAGGGCAGGTGGCAGGAAGAAGGAAAGGTGGCCAGGAAACAGCCATGGAGGAGTGATGGGAAAGGAACATCATATTAGGCAAATCTATTGTCATGCCTACCTACTGTAGGATACGTAAGAAGGTTGTATTCACTTGTAGTTCCTATTCCGGGTGTACTCAAGTGTCGGATCCATCCGAATCGACGTCGGCTTTGCGTTTGGGATCGGTCTTAGCTTTGGCTTTAGGCTTTGTCATTAGTTCGACGTTCTTTTTCGAATTTGGGTGTAGACAATGGAGATTGCCTTATGCAGAGAGCACCCATATGTTCGAATTCTACCTTTGAATAATCACCTAAACCTACTTTACTTGGGTTTCCCTTCCTCGCCATAGTACCTTTCCACTTCGCCTTTCCACTCCATTTTCACCTCACCTCTTCATTCCACAACTCTACGCCCTTCCAACCGTCACCTTGACCGACATCCTCTCTCCAGAGTCGTGGGTCAGGCTTTAGTTCACGAGGGTGCATACCTCGGCATCACGGGGGACCGGATTACAACATCCGTCAACTCTATCTGCAGATTGGTTAAGGATGATTACAATATCTGATGCATCTGACAGCCACAGCTGCCCTAGATATTTTATAGTAAATTGACACTGTTTTGAACACAGTATTGAATCTCATGTTAGAACCAACAACTCATCTCCCAGAACTGCGGGGTAAACTCACCAACATCCACGGAGTAATACCCGGACCTCGGCGCCATCATCCATCCTCCATCACCTGCATACTTCCATAGCGTTTAGTAAACATACTCTGATAACCGAGCAATTGACCATACACCAAATAAATCAGAGTATATAAAGCAAGATAGCAAGACAAGGTGAATGCTCAATAAGCAGTGTCATCACATCAATCACCTCCAATCATCACCATCCCCTCATCAATCATCCCAATCCATCAACATCCTAACTTACTATCATCATGTCCATCACCCTCCCCCCATCCTACGAATCCCACCCAACATCCCACATCAAACTCTCCCACCACCCACCCAACACCCCATCCCCAACCCCCGTCATCATCATCACTCTCAACCGGCCCGACAAACGCAATGCCTTCACCTCCACCATGGCCCAAGAGCTCGAATGGGCCTTCACCACCCTGGACCGCGATCCCCGCGTGAAAGTAATCATCCTGACCGGTAGCGGAGATACATTCTGCGCTGGAGCAGATCTCGAAATTGGATTTAGTGTAGGCGAGAAGGGGAAGGAGAAGTTGAACTTGCGTGATTATCGCGATAGGTGGGATCATACCATACACCCCCCATATACTACTATCTATAGTACTACATCATAGCTAACTATAATTGAATCTATAAATAAACAGCGGCGGCCGCGTCGCCCTCTCCATCCACCGATGCCGCAAGCCCACCATCGCTGCAATGCAAGGCTCCGCCGTAGGAGTCGGTATGACCATGACTCTTCCTGCTGCTATTCGGTATGTTCCCCCTCTTCCCAGCTCCATACAATCCCTAACAATATACTAACTACTATGGTGTATAGAATCGCCCACTCCCCCAGCAAATACGGCTTCGTCTTCGCCCGCCGCGGCATAACCATGGAATCCTGCTCTAGCTACCTCCTCCCCCGACTAATCGGGTACTCGCGAGCCATGTACCTCGTCTCCACGGGGGCAGTGTACCCGCCCACGTCACCGCACTTCGGGGGTCTCTTTGCCGAGACATTTCCCACGAAGGAAGGGGTCGTGAAGCGGGCGGTGGAGTTGGCGAGTGAGATGGCCCAGCTGGTGAGTCCGATGGCTGGGGCGTTGAATCGTGCGTTGATGTGGAGGGCGCCGGCGAGTGTCGAGGAGGCGCATTTGGTTGAGTCGAGGGTTTTGGGTCATATGTTTGCTTCTGAGTAAGTTTTTCTTTCTTTTTTGGATCTTTTTCTTTTGGTGGTGATTGGTGGGTGCTGACGAGAGGATGGTGTAGGGATCAGAAGGAGGGTGTTGGGGCATTCTTTGAGAAGAGGAAGCCCGAGTTCAAGTGTGATTTGGATGTGGATGGGCCGGGGAATTATCCCTGGTGGGCGGAGGTGGATATTGATCCGAGGAGGGAGGTTGAGAATAAGTCGAAGCTGTAAGAGTGGAAGACTAGGATGTAGATATAGCGAAGAAGTGAACATATTTAAATAATCATTTTAAATCGCTCACTGATATGAATATTCGTACAAACAGGAGAATAAAGAGAACTTAATCACAGTTCTCAAGAATGCCATAGTAACAACCACTCAAAAGTAAAAAGGCATCCCATGCAAAACAGAACCACTAAACTAACTTTAAACAATGAAATGACGTCTCTTGCGGTTATACGCCCGCTGATCCTTCAACCACTGGCGATAACCCTGCACACTACCGATCTTCTCACCATAGTAATCCGGAACAGGGTTGGCAATGGAGTTAGACGATGGGTCGACACGGAAACGTCTAATACGGTCGAAGAATTCCTTCTCTTTCTACACAACAATCCATTATCAGCATTCAAACTTCACTAATAAACTTAAACAAGCAACAAGGAAGGAAACTTACCACCATAACAGCAGGCTTATATCTCCGATAAACCAACCCCCAAACAGCATTCCCCACAAACGGACCAACAAGCCAACCCGCCGCACCACACGCCGCCGTCGCCATACCCAGCACCACAAACGGATCCAGACCCATGACCTGCGCGCCGAGGGACTCCAGATCCTGCGTCGAGAGAACCTGCACACCAATGACCGTGGTGAACAGGGAGCTCACGATCGACGAGGCAAGCGAGTACCGGCGGCGGCTGGCGCGGAGCTTGAAGAACGAGTCCCAGTCGAGACGGACGGCCTCGCTTTTGGCAGCGGCGGCGGCGGAGGAGTTGGCGCGGCGGAGGACCAGAGAGGTGGGGAGCTGCGTTGTCGTCGAGGGACGCAGAGCTGTGGTGGTCTTCAGGGTCTGAGTGCTGCGGACTCGCATGGAGGAGGTGTTGGTGCTTGCGGTCCGGGCTTGAGTGAGCGCTTGATACAACGGGTTGGTGCAGCTGCTGGGGTGGGCGAAGGGGCCCAGCGTCTTGGATGTGAGGCGTCCGCTCAGCATGGCGGTACGCATCCCGCTGATCGAGGGGGCGTGCATGGTGGATGGATGTTGGGTTGCAAGTGGTAGGTTGTTGTGGTGATGGTGGTTTGATTGATTCGTTCTGAAGTTCGGCGGGTGAAGCTGGTGATTATGTAAGCGGTCTGAGGCATGACCTCATTGGGAGATGCCGCGGTAAACATGGACTATACAGGGGCAGTGCTTGTTTGGAGTGATAAGTGTGCTCAATGGCCGCAATTGCCTTGGATGTAGTTTGGGTAATATGTTAGATTTATTTGGGTGGATTGTAGCAGTTTCGGTAGGATTTATCTGAGGATCTTGGGCTCTTGAAAAGAAGACTCGATCGGGAAGTAACATGCTAGACAAGATGACTGATCAAGCATAGCAGTACAGAGTATATCTACTGCTCTCGGTTTTTACCAAGCACTACGACGGCTAATAGGTAGTTTGCCTGTACAGCATAATATGGCATGGACTACTCTATATTCCAACGTTCAAGGCATTGCCAAAGTCTTTGAGCAAATCAACAACGCCGTGAAGCGGATAAAAGATTTGCATGTCAGGATTAGGTGTACAAATGATTATCCCGCCATGTTGCATTTCCATCACCAAGCCAATTGGTGGTGCGATGTAAAAGAGAAATCTGCCTGGTTGTGATCGGTAGATCTGGGAGTGAAATAGGGGCCGAAATGAAGATTGCAATGTTGACATTGACTTAGAAGCGTATTGAGACGAAGCGTATTGAGACTGTTACCAGGACCAGGGGATCAGGGTAGTTTTCAGAATGAAGAGGGGGCGAAATTTCCAGAATTGAAGAAGATTGTATAGGCTGATTGTTTGGCAGGCACTATTTCTGTTATGTAATTTGCTCTTAGTGTTGAATGAGCTCGGCTAAAGAGTGCGGGGGTTCAGAACGCTTTGCGGGGTATCGAGCCAAATAGGTGAAAAAGATGCATAATGTTGCACAGTGTATTTCCGGAATAATATCATCTCATGTATATCGAATTTATTGGCTGAAGTTTTATATGCTGGTAGTATATATCGTCTCGTCTATACTGTGGTGTTGATTATATCTCGCCTAGATCTAGTAGGCCCACCGCTATACTCTGCAACTCAAGATGTATGGTTAAATATTGCCGTTGCTTTTGATAGCGCCAGGGCGAGACTGGGCTTTGGCGCTCGTTCCGTATCCGTTCACGCGGCCATAGAGCCATTTGAGAGTTCCCGTGCTCAGCGCCATTGTAACGGCGCTCAGGGCAAAGAGTCCAATGCGACCCTCGAATCCTACAGCCTCAAAAATGGGGTAAGGATACCTGTGCAGTCAGTAAGCTGTACTTCTATAGAAGCGAATACAAGACATACCATCCATTGTATTGGAAGCATCGTTCGATCCAGAACCAGTATCCAAAAGCGATGGTGCTGGACAGGGCCAGTGCAGGAAGAACAGTAATAGTCCAAGGAGGTGAAAGAAGAAGAAGGTCAATCAGTAGAACGATAGACGGTATAGCATGGAAGCCGACGTCTTGGTCGCAATATTAGCAAGCTTCCTTCAAGCGATACGAGTCCGACTTACCGGCATGCATGGGAAGTATCACCCAATCAGGAACAACCAAACGCTTATCAATCTGTTGAACAGTTAGGTGGAATTACAATCGTCCATGAAGAAAAGAATTACCAAACGGATCCCCCAATATAGGATGCTGATCAACACTTCCATTGGAGCGCTGCATACAGAAAGAAGGTTCTTGACTAAAAATAGCCGAGCCGATAACGTCATATCCGCCAGCAGACCGGCGGTAAAGGTGAGCGTGGCCAGCGTCAGCCCAATGACCGTCAGGTACTGGAAATGCCAACCATATGCTTCATTACTGCCATGAAGGTCAATCGACATCTTTGGTTCCTCCAGAGCAAGGACATGGGATACTTACGCCACATTGGGGTTCTCGTGCATGCTAGAGAACGGCTGGTTAGTGGGCGGGCCGAGCACGGGGAGCACGAGCTGTAACGGACTCAACATACTACTTGAATGAGAAGAAGAAGCTGGCTAGACCTAGAGACTGCCATGGGAACAAACATCAGCCCAAGGAACGAGGGACCGACTCGGGGAAGTGCTCACATGAACCAAGGCCGAGAAGCCTCTGGACGGGCTGGACAGGCGCTGCAGGGGATGTTGCCGCTGAAGCGACTGAATTGTTCCAGAAGACGCCATACTGGAAGAGGTATAGAGGTAGAAACTGAAGGGGTTTCGATTAATTAGAACGACACTCGGTTACAACCCGGAAAGTTGCAATCACTGCCGAAGAGGCATGAAATGAATAAGAGAGATAGGGATCTCACTAATGCAATGATCTAAAGAGCTGGCTAGGATGCCCGGCTATTCCGGGGAGGCCTTAGTAACCGGGGGCAGCTAAGCCTGACGGGGTAAAGCTGGGCGTAGCTGAACTGGACAGACCGCCGCGAACCGGAGAAACCCGCCGCCCGGACCAGCTGGGCCTTGGCTTATCAGGCCGGTCTGATTGATGGAGACGGCCGATGGTCTCCCCCCCACTGACTGGTTATCGGGTGGGCTTCATGACTGTTGACTGGCTTGTCTTCTCCGCCCGTCTCGTGTAGCATGTATCTTGGTTCGGTGATTACTTCCACTCCTCCCTTTCCTTTCTTCTTCACTCCAAAAGTCCCTAAATTTTTGCTGGCTTTTGCTTCTTATCCTGGACAACAATAGCGTCACCCCTATGACCCCCTAATTCTTGGCTACACTTCAGTTTACAACGGAGTCGATCGACTAGTAGGGTTGCTGCCATACCACATAGATTATCGTGGATTCTTCCCCACACCCCGATGAGTACGAACAACGGGTGTGGGTGTCTTGTCGATTATCGTTTCTTATCGTCTTGGGTGAAACGCCCTACACGCAGGAAAAAAGCCTTCTTCAGCCTCTTGTCTAGATCGTGATCGCTGTCTCGGTCTGTATGGCGATCTTACTCTGCAAGGTAGATCGGAACCATCTCAGATTCCGGACCATTTATCGCTGTGGTCGCGATTGCTGTTTGTCGGATTTAATCCCTCAGCCAGATCGGGTGTGAACTTCCATGCCTCGCCCCAGAAGACCCGGCGCGCCAGAGCCGAAACGACGATCCCGTAAGGGCTGCTGGTGAGTTTGCAGAATACCTTCTGTATGTATCCTCAAACTAACAATTTCCAGGCCGTGCAAAGCCCGAAAGGTGAAATGGTTTGTCTATACCCTGGTATTTATTTTATTTTTTGCTATCAAAACTGCTCTTCACGGAGAGCACCATGTCATTGTGTTTTGGTATTGACGATGAAGCTAATTTCATGCAGTGGAGAGGAGAAGCCGTCGTGCCTCAACTGCCGACGCCAGAATGAACCATGTGACTATAGCATCAGGTTGAATTGGGGCGGGAGGACACGGAGAAAATCTTCTGTAGACTCCCCCAGCTCTCAGTCCAGTAGTCCGCCGGGCCACTATGCCACCTTCAGTTTCTCGCCATCGAACCAATACCATCAGGATGCCCCGAGTCCAGTCCAGCCATACACACCCTTTTCCATGCGAGACGGAACGACTGTGCCAGATCAAGCTGCAGGGGACTTGCTATGGGATGTCGGACTTGCAGGGGGAATGGAAATAGGAACATCCACAACCAGTCCTAAAGGATTACATGATATCCTCCATGAATCTCCGACTGCCTTTGGCCAGTTAAATAATGAATCCAACTGTACAAATGGCAAGACCTCTGTAGACATGGGGGCTACGTCGCAAGATCAAGAAGCGACCTCCCCATGGCCAGATTTGTCCCCCGAATTAGCCACATCCTCGTCGAGCGAGACCCTGCTCGCTTTCTCCCCGCCTGTACCCTCATCGCTGGACACCATCTCATACCCATCGCCTGCAGATACGAACTCGACTATCGGTTCATTCGCGGCTTTTAACTTTTCCTCTGCCACGATATCGAGGCCCATCTCGTTCCTCCGACATACATCGGATCTCCATCATTCCCCGCCCGACTCCAATCACATGCCCGAATCTCGTACCGAGTTTTCTAGCTATTCCTCGTCTACGGATGTGATGAGTATCTATGCAGACTTCCAGTCACATGCATCATCTTCTGCTCAGAATGCGGCATCGCCAGGGTCGGCAGAAGCAAGTTTGCTTTCGTCAGGATTGGCTCACGAGGCCCCAGCGCTGCAGGCGGGTCCAGCCGTCCATACGGAGAACTTCTTCAGCAAGATCATGAACGATCCTCTGCATCCTGATAGCCAATCCGATGGGGTTTATTCTCGCACAGGATACGTCTCCCATGCTGCTGACAGTGCAGGCCAGAGCCTATCGGAACTGGAGGATGTTTCCATGTCGGAAAAGAGATGGCAAGCTTATCTGACCAGGGTCACGGACAATTACGGGTTGGATTGCGGGCGCCCGGATCTCGATCTCAACAAGAACGACGATCATTCCGCCATTGACATCAACTACGCTTTGGATTTGATTAATTCGGACAGTCGACCTTCCGCTTCGAACTCGGAAGGTTTGCATACAGAGAATGCAAAGTACGATGGATCTGACTGCAACAAGCGTAGCTACTATGCATCGCCGGTACCAATCAATATACCGCGGTATCTTTCGCCGTTGCCACCGTCACTCGTGAAGACGCCAATTAACTTGATGTATTTCCACCACTTTCTCAACCATACCGGTCGCATGCTGGTTCCTCATGATTGCGAAAATAACCCGTTCATCTCGGTCTTGCCGACCAGTAAGTATCATTAGAGGACTTTATCCAGCGCGTTTACTGACATGAACTAATTAGTGGCAATTGGCGACTCTAACCTTCTAAACTTGATGCTGGCATATTCCGCTAGTCATCGGGCGCGGTATCTGGGCCATCCGGAGCCCGCAACCCGGATTGCACACTGGGTGAGCAATGTTTTTCCCACTCTGCGCTTGGCGCTTGAGGATCCCCGTGAGAAGGTGACCGACAGTCATCTTGCGACTGCCATCATGCTTCTTTCTCTGAAAATCATATCTCCCAGCACGTTTGAAGTGCCCATTCCATGGCAAAGTCACTTGAAGCTTGCTCGGGATCTGTATCTGGCACGACAAGAGCAGATGTCATACCCTGGAAATCGTGTCGGCGCATTTCTCACGCGCTGGCTGGGATACATCGATCTCATGGGCGCTCTATCGTGCCGGGAAAGTGGACCACCACTGTCTGCATATCAATCTGTTCTGGCGGTCTGCTCTGATGCAGGAACACATGGCGAATATTGTGTTGACTGCTTCAGTGGGTTTACGCCCAAGACTGGCTTGTTTCTAATGCAGCTGGGAAGATTGACTCATGAGTGTGACAACGAGCGTTTCGACGAGAACGGAGTCTTTCTTCCTGACTGGGAACCATCACCAGGTGTTGCCTTTGAAGCCGAAGCCTTGATAGCGGATCTTGGCGCTTTGGAAACCTACGCCTATGCTGATGCAGCGCACTTCGGTCCGAGCAAGACCGATTTTCTAGCCACTGACCGGGCCTTTCGCTATGCAGGGCTGTTGCACCTTCATCGTCGGGTGCTAAATGCGTCGCCCTTTTCAGAGGCGGTTACGGGGGCCGAACAGGAGCTCTTCAAGGCAATAGGCGATATCCGGCAGAGTGCGTCTGCAGAGGTCGGGGTTCTGTTCCCGCTGTTCACTGCAGGCTGTGAAGCTCGAGATGCCGCGCAACGAGCAGAAATTCAAGAGCGTTTCGATTTCCTCGAAAAAACAGGAATGAAACAGGTGAGTCGATAGCTATTCGCGCAGTTAACATGTCTGACTTTGTCTCTAGATGCAAAGCGCTCGTACGCTGATGCAGCGATGCTGGTCCGAAGACTTGCCGTGGATCGCATTGGCTCAGGGCGAGTTTCTAGGGTAGCCAGGCAGGTAGAATTATCTTGTACATCATTCTTGCTCATAAGCCAATGCTACTGGGTGAGGTGCATATATTGTACCTGCAGGGTATGTCCCGCTGACTGCGCTAGTTCCATATATGAAGCGAGCGGAGACAGCAGGCCTGACTCTACTGAACTTACTATGTACATATCAAGAGGCCGCTAAGGGATGGTCATTTGTAGAAGCTGTTGGTCTACCGCCCATCACAAGTGTCGTAGTACCACCACACCCCGGCACGTTGTATACTCAGAAAAAGTGATTGTTTGTCTCTTTGCTCGAATGGCCACACGAGGATTTCAGATTTCTCTCTATAGCTTTATCATCCAGCTTAGTAGATGATTCTACCTTTCCTTGAAGCGAGACCATTTTCACCTCACTCTACCCTCCGCATACTATATCAAGTAGCGATCACTAGGAATCCTACTACTATATAAAGGCCATCATTTACTCTATCCCCTTCTAATCTTCATAATTCTTTCTTCCACAGACCTCGGTATCGATCTGCGAAATATTCTCTATAAAAGCCATTAAAACTCTGACTTCTTCCACCCAACACAATCATCTTGGTCTCGCATTGATAACCTTGACACCTAAAAAAAGAGAGGTTGCCTAGTGACGAAGCACGCCACTTAGCTGTGACGTGAAGAACTTCACCAAACACCCACTAAGTACCAGCGCCACTTCCCAAAATGGAAGGGTGCCCCTCCCAGCCATACCAGGATGGTCCTCAGAGTGACTCGGGGACCATTCTAGTCCTGATACTTATAACCATAGTGTTTCTTTGCTTTGTGGTTTATCGCATAGAATCTTATGTATTCCTGATGCTTCAGACGTGCGAACGGAAAGACATGGCTCACAAGAAGGACAAGAATAGTCTGCAGCTGGAGCGGACCGTGCTGGCTCCAGTGAATCCTTGTGCTCAGAATACTGCTCCGCTCTCCAGTCTCCTGGACAGCGGACTGGACGACATCAAAGTCCCCAGCCTGCAGCCATTGTCACCTATCAAAACGCCTTCTGTTGTGCGGATCATGGTCCAAAAGGAGCCTACACAGAGAGCGACAAGCCTGCTCATAGACCAGCACGTCGACAATCTGTCTATTCCCGTTCTGGAACCCCAGAGAGTGAGTCCTCGTTCGAATTCAGCTACCACTATAACCCAAGTTCAACCTCCAAGGTTAACCCGTCCGGTGTGCGTCAAGAAACAGCCGTTCGTCACCATGAAACCACCAGTGCTCGTGCCGTGGGATGGTACAATCAAATGGGCTATCCGAGGATCCAGTGTTTTTGAGACTACGGATGAAGAACTCGACGCGTTGCTGTACCGCCCGAATATTGTCAGCAAGGAATCCCCAACTGAGCTCTGGATGTTCCAGTTCGGCTTGCGCTATATCCCCGCTGAAGGTGACAGAGATATACACCGCGCCGTCACTATTGAGAATCTACCATCAGATGTGACCCTGCAGCAACTCTTATCTCTAGTTACCGGCGAAATCTACTCAGCACACTTCCTCGATACTGTATCTATCACGGGGTCAAACACCGCTTTCATCGTTTTCGTTACCCAGGCAGATACTGTTGACTTTCTCAAAAATTCCGGCGGTAGTCTTGCCCTGAGGGCGACACAGGCTAAAGTGGCCCTAGTCCCGACTCCAACTTATCCTATGGCGGCTAGTATGGCACGGCTGGTTTTCGAAGAGGGTCATACGCGGTGTGTCTGTATCTCTGGTGTGCGGGATACTCTGAAGGGAGAGATTCGTCGGGTCTTGGGCCGGTCGCCGTTCTTGGATCATCTCGAACGGATCGAGGACGGACAGGTGCTCGGGGATGTCTATGCTCGGTTTCACTCTATCAAGGTGGCCACTGCCGCCTATAACCTTCTGAAGAGTCATCCGAGCTTCCAGAAGTGTAAACTCCGGTTTCTGGCAGCAAGACCTTTGGCGCGGCAACCTCGAATCGGAATCTGGGATTGAGGAGCAGTCTCGTCTTTCCGCACGTCTGTACAGTAGCTAGCCTTTATATCGTTTCATAACTGGCGTTAATGGAGATCTTTCAGTAGTAACCGGGACTTGGTAAGCAAGTAAGCAATGCCTAGAATTTCCCCGCATGGGGGCGGGTCTCCAGCATTCCTAGCCGAGCTCTCCCCGGCTTTGGCCCATCCACAGTAATTATCGCATCATCCATTGCCATTGATCCGCGGGTACACTACAAGACAACACAGCTTCTCCGATGTCATTACTCGAGCTGAATTCGGAAGGGAACTTGATCGCCGTGCTAGCGCATTCCACGGTAACACACACATAGCCGACTCAGACATGGGAGTCCTTGCTTCATCCTGTGCAGACTTCCAACGCGGGGAATAACCCTTCGTTTGGGCCCGACTAACTTTTGGGTTCCTCCTCCAGTTATCTCGGGCCAATCGTTCTCACGCTCACCCTTGGCGATCATTATGATGGGTTTCTCATTGGCTCCGTGGGCGCTGATCGGTCTGTCTATCCTCGCTTCTTGACCCTAGATCCTTCGCGAAGAGCATCGTCATTCAGCTGCAGCTACGATCACGATGGGATTACCAATTGCCGGAAGCCCACCCTTTAAAACGCTACTGGTACCTCCCCTCCTCCCTTCACTGCTCCTCTCCAGTGATTTCTTTTCGCTCCTCAACCTCCATCTCTCCCAGTGTCACACACATCACAATGGCGCAGGTCGACGAGAAACCAGCGTTACAAAATTCCTACCGTAGTATGGTGGATACCGAAAAGGCTACTACATTTCACGGCTCACCAGAGGAGTCGCAACTGGATTTCCTTGATGACCCAGATGAAGGCTTGAGTGAGGAGGAAAGGGCGAAGATCGTGAGTAACCCGCCCTGGTCAACACCAACAGGGATATTGAGCTGTACTAATGCAATTACCAGGATCGTGCATTACTGTGGAAACTTGATTTGCGGCTCATCCCGTGGTTGAGTTTGCTGTACCTGATTTCTTTCTTGGATAGGTATGCACAATTGCTCCAATGACCGTTTTGGAAATTAATGTGGCTTTAATAGAACAAATGTTGGCAATGCCAAGCTCGCTGGTCTCCAAGGCGATTTGCATATGACTAATTCGCAGTACAACGACTCTTTGACCATTTTCTTCGTGTCATACGCAATCTTCGAACCTATCACCAATGTTCTCCTCAAGCGCTGGCGACCTAGCGTGTTTATTCCGATTATAATGGTAGTATGGGTATGGATAATGAGGTCTTACACAGGTTGATCTGCGCTGATTTGGGACAGGGTATATGCATGACTTGTATGGGGCTCGTACACAACTTCTCTGGGATTATGGCGGTGAGTGTCTGCATACTTATACGATTTTCATAAAATGGAGTTCGCGCGGCGCAATTATTGGCCTGCTAACAGTAGTAGGTGCGATGGTTCCTTGGCCTGGCGGAAGCCGGTCTCTTTCCTGGCGTTGGATACTTCTTATCCTGCTGGTACAAACGATCCGAATTCGGCGTGCGCATGGCCATTTTCTTCTCCGCCGCTGCCCTCGCGGGGTCATTTGGAGGGTTGCTCGCGGCTGCGATCGCCCTGATGGATGGCATCGGAGGGAAGGCGGGCTGGTCTTGGATCTTCATTCTCGAGGGTCTGCTGACGATCGTCATCGGCGTGCTGTCCGTATGGATGGTCTACGACTTTCCGGACCAGGCCAAATTCTTATCCGAAGCGGATCGCAAGCGTGTACTGCGTCGTCTGGCGGCTGACAAGCAAGCCAGTGCCGGGTACGAGAAGTTTGAGATGACTTATTTCTGGAGCAGTCTGAAGGACTGGAAGACGTATCTCAATGCGATCATCTACATGGGTTCATGCATGCCGCTATATGCATTCTCCCTATTTACCCCAACTATCATCAATGAGCTAGTATGTCCTCTACAAGTTGACTATAGTAAACAGTACTAACAGTAATAGGGTTTGTTCGGTACTCCTCTGATTTGATAGGGATCTAACCGGCGCAGGCTATACCGCGATTCAGGCGCAGCTACTCAGTGTCCCGCCTTATGCCGCGGCAGCTATCGTCACCGTGGCAATCGGTTTTATCGCAGATCGGACCGGCCAACGTGGCATCTGCAACATTGCGGTGTCACTCCTCGGTATTGCCGGGTTCTCCTTGCTTCTGGGGGCCAATTCCGCAGGTGCGCGATATGCAGGGGTATTCCTGGGCGCCATGGGCATCTACCCCGCGATTTCGAACACGATTTCCTGGGCCAGTAACAACGCAGAGGGTATGCATCTCAATGATAGTGAAGAACCATGGCTAACGGTAACAGGTGTGTACAAGCGCGGTGTCACGCTAGGTATTGTCATTGGCTGGGGCAACCTGAACGGCGTGGTGTCATCCAACATCTACCGCGGCGGAGACGCGCCTCAGTACTATCCGGGTCACGGGGCGGTGCTGGCATATTTGGTGCTGTTCCTGTTTGGTGGATCACTCGTGCAGTATGTTCTTCTCCGTCGGGAGAACGCCAAACGTCGTCGGGGAGACCGAGACCACTGGATAGCAGGACTGGAGAGACAGGAGATCGAGAAGCTTGGAGACAAGCGGCCAGACTTTATATACACGCTGTAGCTGTTACCAGATCCAGCAGAAACCCAAACAACATCATCACTCACTTCCCCAATCCACAATCTATAATCTAAACCCCCTCCCTCACCGTATAATAATTCACAATATCCTGATCCTTCTTCGGCCCTTTAACCACATGTCTACTCGCCCAACTAACCACCTCCCCAATCCCATCCCCATCCCCACCATCACCATCATTCTCAGTTTTCAACACCCGAAACGCATACGCCGTCCGATACATATCATTAATACAAAGATGATTCCCCCTTGCCGTAACCACCACTGTCTGCTCCCCTCCCTTATCTCCTCCAGGTATAGTCGCCGGCGGCGGCACCGGCGCACTCACAAACTCCTCCCCTTCCTCATCCTTATCCTTATCCCCACCACCCACCGAATCACCATCATCAAGAAACTCCATCCCATGAAACAAATAATCCGCGACCTTCTCATCACCCACCTTCACAAACCAGACGGATAAATCATCCTTGACTGTAGGTGTAGCTGTGGATGTAGCTGTAGATGGGGATGATTTCAACCTCCAGATATAACTCTTCTTCCATTGTAGATTATGTCCGATGTGTGGCGGCAGGGTGCCCGTCTCGGTGTAGAGGAGTTGGCGCTGCGGGGAGGGGGGATCTTGTGTGGTGGTGTCAGGAAGAGAGGTAAAGGATGCGGTGCCGTGGAGGTTGCCGTTGATGTCGTGCGGGTTGGCGCTTTTGAGGACTCGGAGGAGGGTCCAGTTTTTGGTGGGGAGGGAGGTGAAGAGGGTATTTAAGTTGAGGGTTGTCATTGTGGGTGCATGGTATGGTTGTGTTGTGGTGATTCGATGTGGTGTGGTGGTGTGGTGAAGAGAGGTGGGAGAGTGACGGAGTGACGGTGACGGAGGGAGGAATGGAGGTGAAGAAGGGCGGGTGGAGATGCGGGAGGTGGGTTGTGACCCACTGAGCTAATAGTAGTGTTGGGTTAATACTTAATAGATCTAGTATTGAGCTATCAGCAATTGGGTGAGTTTATTGTTTTTGATATTTATCATTAACATTTTTCATTGATGATAAATAACTAAAATATTCAAATGAATGCGTCTTGTTAAGTTGAACGCCCACTTTTTATCAACTGGTCTGGCACCAGTTCTCACAATTTCTAATTCTTAAAAGTCGCTAACAGATCTCTACTACTCAAGTCTACGTCTATACTACACAAGTCTGGAATGCTAATTTGAAGCACTTACTACTGTCACATATTATATTTGTACATTCTGCGGCATCATAATTTAATCTCATATTCTCTACAGAGCAAACACACATCGATCCCCTTTCCGGCACGCATTACAAAACCAATGTATATATCTGAATAAAGCTGCATATATTGAAGAAAACTTTTGCTCATTATTCTATCTGATTAACTTTTATCTACCCATAGCAACCACAACAGCAGCATATTTTAGTCCAGCCAAGCGTACACTCATCCACTGACGCAACAACTACTCCAACAGCACCATCTCACATCACCTAGTTGGGCCTAGGCGGATCCTGAGGCTTGTCATCGAGGGGCTTAGGCTTAGGCTGGGGCTTAGGCTGGGGCTTTGGTTGAGGTTTTGGCTGAGGATTCTTAGGAGGCTTCGGTCCATCGTCGCGCTTCTGTGGGGGATTCGGGTTGTTGGGAAGGGGCGCATCCTTAGGAGGTTGAGGGACGGGCTTGGGCTGATCATGGGGGTGGGCATCATTCGCTGGCTTGGGAGCGTCGGGTGTAGGCTCATCCTTAGGAGGCTCCGGGCCGTCACGCTTGTTGTTGTCGTGGGGTTTTGGAAGAGGAGCGTTGGGAGGAGGGTTGGGGTGGTGGTGAGGTTGGATATCAGTAGGGCCTGAGGGTGTTAGCTTAAGGGTATGCCAAGGTGTTGCAGGACATACGTGGAGCAGGAGGAGCGGCGGCGACCAGGCCAGCTACCAGCAAGGTAGAAAGGACTGCAGAGAACTTCATTCTGGAGGACAGCAAGAACTGAAGAGATTGAAGGATTAAGAGCGGTTTTTGTGATATGGGGTTTGATGTTGCTAATGAGTCAACAGCCGGGCTTCAATGTCCCTTTTATATTTTTCGACATGCATGTTCGGAGCATCATCGGCCTCAACAGTCTAGCTCTAAACTACTCCGGTAAGCTTCATCCGGTATCTTCGTTCGAATACCCTCGTGCTATCTTTGTCTAGACTGAATAAACTTTGCATCTACCAAACCATGGGCTTGATGTATCAGCCCTGCCGTGTTTCAACCTTGCATCAAGTTAGCAGAATCTAAGAAGAATGGGATCAGCATTGGATAAACCAGTCGAGAATTTTCCACTCATCAACAGTCTTAGAAAATATGTAACGACTAGCAGTTTCATCTCTATTCAATCTAGCCTCGCTTTTCTCCGGGACTGCCCCAAAATTGGGTCCAGGTACGGTGCCCATGCAATATTTTTCGGCTTCTCGGGCTGGCAGCGTTCGTCGATCATGAAGCTTAGCGTTCTAGATGTCGATCAGATGCTATGGTATACTGGGTTTTCTTTGAGTCGACGTTTTAATAAGCAGGCATTGTGATGCATCGCCTACCAGGAAGCTAAGCATAATTCAGAGCAATCCCTAACAAACCATGCACAAGAACACCCGCAATAGTAAGTCTGCCTACTTTTCCAAATCAATATCGGCATATACACCTATCTAACTTTTACATTTCCCCCACCATGTTTCTAAACTGATACCTCCCAGTCTAAGATCCCGACTACCGGATAACCTTATATCCAGTCCCTGGACCCTCAGACCAATCCCCAATTCTACCGGTGCAGGGTTTTCCTCATCTGAAACACTCACAGAAGATATATCTCTATATGCTCATACCATTTAACAATCTAGAACCGAGCAGCCGGGCATACCTAACATATTTGGTATATGTCCGTGTCCACATAGGGGCCTTCTTAACCGGTCTGGAGCATAGGAGATCTTTAGGACAGGTACAGACCTTTTTATGTCGTAAGTTATGCGGTTATAAGTAGTTGTCATCTTACTAATAATATAGTCATTACGGATAAGAGAGACACATACTGATGTTCTGATTCAACTGAGTAGATTCCTAATTGATAAGCATGGCTGTAGCAACATAGCAATGACCTTACTACTTCTACCCGTAAAGAAGTAACATAAGCTATAATTCTTCACTCCAACACAATATTAAAATAGAAATAAGCAAAGGTTTCTTATCACTCGGATCAAGTAATGCTCTCCGTGATCGGCACTGCGAACCGAACCGTGAGTTAAATGAAACTTGGCTATACTTAGCGGGACGGATTGCAAAGTTTGATGATGAAGTAAGAAACGAGCGGGAGAAGGTTCTCGTATGTTTGATCCTGATCATTGCTTAAGATGCTTGGTCAGTTTCTATAGTAGTTCTCGAGCTAGGTTGTTGGGGTATCCATTATATTTTAGTAGTCCTATCTTTATAGTAGCTGCCAGGGTGATGACTTAATGTTTGTAATAATGCATTGTGCGTTGACCCTCTTATTTGATATATAGACAGCCCTTAACTAAGTATCAAGGATCAAGCAATATTGTCAGTACGAATATTCAGCCGATACTTAGTATTCGAGATGATATCTCCAAGAGGCAGAAGAGACCCCGAAAGCGGTAGTACCACCTTGGTTGAGTCCTCCAGCTATGTTCCCCTAGTAAATAATAGTAAGAACAGTGGCAGAAACCTGCCCCGACCGCCCCACTGACCGCTCAAAGCGGCAGAACCTAGCGAACCTCGCTGCGAAAACCCCGGATTTAAGCGGATTTAAGACATTCCAGTTTTCAGAACACTCACTTGGAATCTGTATGTTTTTTGACCGCTTTTGGGCAGGGTGGCAGAACATGGTCGCCAGCGAGTTGCCTACATTGGAGTATTAGTGTTGGATGAGTTTATCTATTATTTTGATGGATGGTGTCCATCTGTGTGGTCGAGTTAATGAATACGGCTTGTTGTTGTCCTGTATAGCTTGATTTGTTAGACTTTCGTCGTTGTTGACTTTGGTATACTAAGTATCTATAGGACCTAGGGCCTCTCCGTGGTCACTATATCGTTCATATGCTCTCTTTTCGGTGAAGATTATATGCCAGTATGATGGGAGTAATACTACTAGTAAAGAGTTTTTACTCTGTTTACCTGATGGTTGTTTCATCGAAGAAGCGTATTCAATTGTTGCTTGTTGCCCGACCGAAACCAATTTCCCAATTAGCTTGATATCATATGCTTTTGTAGATGAACTAATATCATTAAGATATGTCAAGATCAGAGCTCAGTATAATCAAATGCAGCCTAATGCTCCATGCTACTACTCCGAGTAGACCAAGCTCATCGATTAATGCAACATGTGCGGGGATCATGGCGTGCGCAAGAACCCCGCATGCCACCGCCGACGATCCATCTCTATCTTTCATTCTTGAATTCTCGAAGTCAATCATCGTATCAATCAAGTCGGTCATCCAAAATAGAGCAAATAATCCAGTCATGTCCTCACAAAAAGTCTATCTGGACCATCTACTTCTCCAATTCAGCAAGGAAGAGTTCGAGTCGCCGTCCAAATGGTTGACTGATCACTTTACCATCATTGAGGGTGGCACTCATGCGGGTAAGATATCAATTAGCCCTTGTTGACTATCGGATAAGATCTTTTGCACATGCTTATACCCGGCAGGTGGTCTGAGTCGCAACAAACTAATCATCTTCCCCGACGGAACTTATGTGGAACTTCTTAACTGGATAAACAAACCTGAAAATTGGAGGGACCGACCGGGCGATTTTGCGCTTACTTCTTTGGCACCCGTCTCGGCCGAAGATAACCATGACCGTATAGTCAAAGCGCTGGATACCATCTCTGATGATAGCCTGGGGGTGACGTACTCGCAGCCGATCGACGGAGGACGTCAGACACCCAGTGGGGTTGATATTCGTTGGAAGCTACTGAAGGCACTTTATTCCGATACGCAATCAACTACGCCAGATCTCCATCCTCGAGGCCGCACAGATGCACCCTTCTTCTGCCATGATGTCACGGACAGGGTTCTGCGCGTCCCGTATGATCAGTCTTCTGTCGTTGATCACCCGTCAGGCGCAACAGGGATTGCGGGCATCGAGCTGCTCGTGCCTAAAGATAGACTGCAATCCTATGTGGCCCTTTATACGTGCATAGTGGGAGCATCCCCGCGCTTGTCCACTACCGAAGCGGAGTTCGAGCTCAAAGAGCCGGGTTCCCTAGATTTCTCCGGGGTTTTTCGCATTCGGGCTGCAACGTCGGAAAATGATGATCAATATCTGCGGGAGAAAGGGATTGGCATTTCATCTCTGATAATCCGATCGAAAGCTATCGGGGATTTTCGTTTTCCTGTATCAGATTATCTGCATTGAGGTGCTCGTGCTAACCCGTATGTACCAATGCAATGTTGCAACCTATGCCGTAAGGTATTAGTCGAAGAGATGGATTATCAACCGATGTATCACTGTACTGCAGTCGCAGATATCAGTCCATTGTAGCGAAATCGTGATGTATGCGCATTGCCTGTATCTGATAACTTCATGAGGTCCTAGTAGGCCATAAGTAGTCCTAGATGCTCTTGCCAACTGTTCCAGAAACAGGCAGATGCCTGATCGAGCAAGGGATCTGTCATCCTGGCTTTTCCGACCGTATAATGATCTTTTTATAGGTCGCAGATCGATCAGGAGGTACATGGCCCTTGCTTATCATTTCCGCATTAGTAGAAATTGTTCTGGCTTGCTAGAATGCCCGCGGGGCATCTGCTTGAAGTCAGCTGTGTTGCTCACCGCTGGAGTGGTCACTGGGATGAGCTCGTTCAGCTGCTTCAGCGCATGCTGCGGAGTCGTATCGCTAAAGGTAGCCGTACTTCTACTCCTATCTGCACCGGGTGAGCCACACTGGGACAGGTCCTGGTGGCGTCATGGACACATTCCTCCCTGCCCCTGGAATGACCGATCAGCCCGGGGATGAAGGAGATCGGTTCCATCCGGCATCCAGAGCGATCCGTGGATCCACGGCTTTTAAACTCAAATCAGAGGAATGTGTCAAAACGATATCAACAATGTGAACTTAGAATTCATGTCATGTAGATTTTGAATGGTTGAGTGGTGAGCAAAGCGACTAATAGATCGGGGCGATTTCAGTGATTCATCAGTCACCCAAGGAGGCGACTGCAGTCAATAACTCTGAGACACTTTCCCCAGGATTACACCCTCGCAATAACCCTGGATGTGAAGGTATCACGGCACCGTTGCATTGTGGGGCTTGGAACCAGGCGCCCCAGATTATTGGGAATAGTGTGCTGCAGAAGATACCCACAGGTCAGTTTGACAGGGCAACAGCCACGGATTCGGGACGACGCATGCGGCGAGGGTTGAGGGGGAAAAGACTGAAAGGGTCCGCGAAAAGCAGGAAGATGTAACGAGGTACTGTTAGGGAGATGGGGACAAGTGGATCCCAGTTGCAGGGTGTTGAGATTTGAGGATGATGAAGATGAAGATCTGGGAAAGTAACAGACTACAGAATAGAGTCAAGAGGGGGGGCAAGAAAAGAAGAAAAGAATGAGATGCGATGGGGCCCAAATCAGCGAAAAAGGCGTTCAGGGTCCAGACTGCGCGGCCATAGATTAAAATAACCGGCAACTAAACTGGAGGAGGTAAAGAGCATCAGCACGACTTCGTAAAGGACTCCATTCTTACGCAAACCTGGACTTCGGGCGCAAATGAATTTTCGGCGCTACGCAGTGGGCCTAACCAGGGCGAAGCAGGACTAAGCAGGACTAACCCCCAAGGCAGTAAGCATCATCCGCCCGTGTCTCCTCCGGCCGCAACCGGCCAGGCAATCCTTCCTCACTCAATCTTCCTTTCTCCTCTTCCTGCCCTCCTTTCATAATTATTATTCTATCGTTTCCTTATCCTGTCTGGCCCTTTTCGCT